TATATATATATATATATATTTCAATGGTTTCCACAAAAATATGATGGGACACAACTGTTTCAACATTGATAATAATAGTAAATGTTTCTTGAGCAGCAAATCAGCATATTATACTGATTTCTGAAGGATCATGTGACACTGAAGACTGGAGTAATGATGCTGAAATAATGCTTTACATCACAGGAATAAATTACATTTAAACATATATTCAATCAGAAAACTGTTCTTTTAAATTGTAATAACATGTCACAATTTTACTGTTTTTACTGCATTTTTATTTAAATAAATGCAGCCGTGGTGAGCAGAAGATACTTCTTTCAAAAGCATAAAAAAAAAACTTAATTATTCCAAACTTTTTCGACAGTTTTATCGTTCAGCAGGTGAAAACTTTGTTAGAACTGGTTTTGGATGGTTTGGGTCTGGACTTCAGGTTTAGGGTTTCAAATGCAGATTCTCTGTGCTTTTTAAGAAGCCAGAAGGCCTTATTTTCATCTTTTATTTATATCTTTGGCTTGTCGCCTCATGGTGTAGGAGTGAGCATGATTGTGTGTAATGCAGAAGAGCTCAGTCCCGAATGCGCCTGGCGTGCGTGCTTTAGGCTTTCTCACACACTGTCTTCAGTCTGCTCCAGCTTCTGTGGATTGTGATGGTTATTCTACAGCAGTCACTCAAACACCATCATTCTCTGCGTGTTGTTTCTTGTTGACATTCTGGGAGGATTTGAAACTGTTCGGCTGCTCTTCTGTGTTTCCTCAAGTGTGTGTGTGCTGCTTGTGAAAGGCCCCGTCTGTGTCTGTGTGTGTGTGTGTGTGTGTGTGTGTTGCACTGTTGTGTAGAGAAAGTGCTGTGTTTCTATCCGTTTCCTCTTTCCTGTTTGTGATGATGTCAGATGTTCAGTTGAGAGGCATCAGAGGTTGATTCAGTTCATCAGTGTCATCTTTTGGTGTGTTCCAGTTAGGGCTGCACGATAAATCGCATGCGATATTTAATGCGCATCTTGTCAGTAAAGGCGCTTCTGTAATCAGCGGTAAATCTCCATCACCTGCGTGCTTGGCCTTTTTTATTAAGTTTTTATTAATATTTTGAGATAGCTTTTTTTAATATTTTCAGTTAAATTACTGTTATGCTTTTGTAGTTTATATATATATATATATATTAGGGGTGCTCCGATTGATCGGCTATCGATCACTATCGGCCGATAATCACGTTGGGATGATTGATCGGCAGTCTCTAAAAAGGCCGATCTCAAAAAAACGATCTCAAGCTGATGATGCTGCCATGAGAGGTTTGGCATTTATATATTTATTTATATATATTTATATTTAGCCTTCATTTATATTTATTTTAATTTTGGTAATTTTTGTCGTGCATTTAGGCATTTTTATTAGGTTTATATACTTTATAACTTTTATATTTAGCATTCATTTATATTTATTTTAATTTAAAGTTTTATTAATTGTATGTGCTTTTGTCATTTTTATTAGGTTTTTAAAATTTATGTTTAGCATTCGTTTATATTTATTTTAGTTTAAGTTTTAGGAATTTAGCTTTTTGTCATTTTTATTAGTTTTTTCATTTTTCTATTTAGCTTTAATTTATGTTTATCTTAATTTGAGTAATTTCATTTCATGTCTGTCTCAGTCTGTCGACCTATTTTTAATAGTTTTAGTCAACAATAACAACATTGTTTTCTTTGTTTAGCAAAAAATTTTAAAATTAGTTATTTACTTTAATTTTACTTTATGCTTTAGTTTTAGCGGTATGCTTTAATGATTTTTATTTTAAATAATTACTAATTTTAATTCTACATTATGATTTTGATTTGAGTAAGTTTTCATTTTAAAAGTAGTATTTTATTTTAATTTTACATTATGCTTTATTTTTGTTATATTTTCATTATTAGTTTAACGGTTTTACATTTGATTTGACTTTTTAGTCAATTTTAATTTAAAGAAAAATTACAGAACATTTTATGATTTAGATAGTTAGTAAGTTTATTTTAAAATTACTTATTTTATTGTTTTTATTTTAAAATTTATTTTAAATTTACTAATAATTTTACTTTTTAGTAAGTTTTTTTTCTTTAAAATTACTTATTTTATTTTGTTTTTATTTTTAAAATAATTTTATTTAACATTTTAATGATTTTTGTTTTTATTTTAAAATTATTTGAATTTTCAGGATGTTTTTACTTTAAAATGAATTATTTTGATTGTAAATTTTTATGGTTTTATTATTTAGTGACTTAAGTGAGGTGTTCAGAGATGACATATGTAGATTTGTCTGGTATGTTGAATATTTCTCATGTTTTCCTGTAGAACCAAATGCGAGATTTGTCTTCATTTTAAGATCACACTTGATTTAGCAATGCTCCTGTGTTTCTGTGCAGGGCTGGATTGCGAACGTGCGAGGAGCTTCCTTCTCTTCTCAGGGCAAGCACATCAAATCCAGCTGCAGTCTCGTGGCCTTCAACACAGATCAGGCTGGTATGAACACTGTTCTTCACTATCAGCACTGAACATCTGAGCACCTCTGATAACATGTGCACACACCAAACATAAACACCAGGAGAAGCAGTCTGTGTTGCGTTTTGTAAGCTGTGTTTTTAGATGTAACCGTGTCTGTTGTGTCTCTGGAGGAGGTGGGATGGTCGGCCTGTCTTCTGTGAACGCCGCATCTGACGGGAAGTGGACCGTGACCCAGATTTCATGCCATGCTGGTAAGATACCAACAATTACAGGTCTTACTAACACACTTGTCTCATTTAACTTCATTTGAAGCGGAAGTTGATGTCTGTGAGGATGCTTGGAGCAAATAAAAGTGCTGTCCCGATGCTGTGTCCTGTGTACGTAATGTACGAGTTTGTCCTGATTCTCTTCCTGATCTTCCTGTCCCAGACCTCGTGACCGACCTGGACTTCTCGCCATTTGATGACTATCTGCTGGCGACCTGCTCGGCTGATGAGACGGTGAGTCGTGAGAAACCAGTGATAGTTTGTGTCCACTGCAGATTATTCTGAGCAAAAACTGACCCCTTCAACAGCAAGAGACTGTCTGAGTGACATGTAAGGTGACCAAGTATCTGAAATCTGATGCCACATTCATAATATAATGATCAATCACAATATATAGTTGCACAAGGATGTCATACATCATATATGCACAAGTGCATTAATTCTCTGAAAAAAAAGAAGCGTTTCTCATTGTAGCAGTCTGGCTTATTATTATTAATAATAATAATAATAATTAATAATAATAATTAATGCATTTAGCAGACACTTTTATCCAAAGCGACTTACAGTGCATTCAGGCTATACATTTTTTTACCAGTATGTGTGTTCCCTGGGAATCGAATCCACGATGTTTTGCGCTGCTTACGTAATGCTCTACCACTGAGCCACAGGATCACATTATTAACATCATTGTTTCCTGGTAGATATAAATATAGATATAGACAGGGGTGCACATAAGTTTTTCAGCCTGGTTCTCATATGAGAACCTGGAGATTTGGTTTTAGTCCTCACACTGCACATACTGTTACCCATTAAATATAACTATTAAAAAAATAAATCAATAAGACTGATAGTAATATTGCACTTTATTTATTTAGTGTTTTTTTTAAATAAAATAATAAAGTGTGATAATACTATTATATTTTAAAATTAAAGGGAAGTATTAAATACAAATGCAATTACTTTATAGTAAACTTAAAAATAAAATGTTAATATTTACTACTTCTTTTTTTTAAATTTTCATCATTTTCGAACTTAAAATCAGCAGGCTTTTATTTTGGCGGGTTGCCGGTAAAGTAAGTATATGCGCTTCCGGGTTTAGCGCTGCCGATTGTAGAGCGTCAGTGAATGAAATGTCACAGTTTTGCATTGTGCTTTGAAAAACGGCAGCGGATAGCCTAGATTTATGCATTCAGTTTGAATAGAAATCTTATACAGTACAGTTTGTCGATCTAAAATGGTGATTGTGCATTAATAGCTGTCAATCATGTCGATATGCAAATGCAATGTGAGAACTTATTTACACGGCGCATTTTTTATTTTGGTCGCGCATGCGGACCTGCGGACCACTTATGTGCACCCCTGATTATAGACTATTTCTGTAAGTACTCAGACCACTTGAGTAGTTAATAATAAAATTTTATTTATTTATTTATTCATTCATTCTTTAATATATTTTATTTATTTTTAAATTATTTCTTAATTTATGTATAAAATATTTTATAAAATCAAGTAAATCAATAGAAATTTTCTATTTTAGTTATTAATTTAATTTAGTCTATTAATTTATTTTTATTAAAAACATATTACAATTTAATCTATTAAAAGAATTATTGTAAAAAAATTTAATTATTTATTCTTTTTCAAAATTCTTTTTAAAAGCTATTTATTTAAAATATTTATTAAATCAATTTATTTTAAGTTTTTTATTTTAAATCAATAGAATTTAGGTATTTAATTAATTAATTAACTTTTATTTATTTTATTTATTTTTAAGTGTATTTTAAACCAATTAAATAGATTTTATTTTATTTTATTAGAATAAGAATTGAATTTTCTGATTGAAGCTGATTTTTTTCCCCGCTTACTCCGTTAACCCTCAACCCTCAGTGTATGTACGGATGCATAGGTTTAGTTTGAAGTGGAAAGCTTTTAGTTCAGATGTTTGTTCTTAGTTCAATCCTTAAGAATGTGCGTTGCTCGGCTGCATGTGTTTATCAATGACATCTGCTGATCTGTTGAGCTGTTTTGTCTGTTCAGCTTAACAACAAAAAAGCAGCTTTATCTTGGAGCTATGCTTATATCACAGTCTATGAAGAGCGTTTTTAGCAGCTGTATCACGCTGTGCAGATGTTGAGGAGGTTGGCAGATGCTGCTCTCACTCAGGTCGTGTTTTTAGAAAGCTCAGCAGAATGAGAGACAAACACTCACGATGGATCTGTCTGCTGATGCCTTCATATTCCAACACATCTGGCCTCCAGCTGACATCTGATCCAGCGTTTGTCTCTCTCAGTGAGGTTCGGTTTAGTAGTCAGCTCACACAGTGAGAGCACAAGAGCCGTTCCGATTGGGACGTTTCCCAGGGGAACCACAGTTCCTGCCAAAATACTATGGTTACATTTAGTATTACTCCAGTTAAACTGCTGTATATTGGTACTAGCCAAGTCAAGTCAAGTCACTTTTATTGTCACATCACCACAGCACATGTGCCTTGGTGAGTGAAATTCTTGGGAGCGTGCTCCAGACTGCAGAAACAATTTACATATAAACATACAGACCTCAACAGATGACAATGTGCAATATACACATACATATATAGTCAGTACACACAGTGTACTATTAGACATACTAACAGTTAGCACTACACATTATACACAGTATGTACATACTTACAGTTAGCAATACACATTATACACAGTATGTACACATTCTACATTATGTAGACATATATACACATAAAATATGCGAAGGTGCAACAGATTATACATGAACTGGATACGCAAAATGTCATGGATGTGCATTGGATGGTATCCAGTGGTAGCAGATAGATTATTGTATTAAATGCAGTGTGTATGTATAGTCCAGTATTGAACTGTTGGAGTTAAAGTGCAGTGTGTGGCATACCGTATTGTGGGAGTATGCTGTAGGGTGTATTAGTTCTGACTGTTCATTAGTCTGATAGCCTGAGGGAAAAAGCTATCCCTCAGTCGGCTAGTGCGGGATCGGATGCTGCGGAGACGTCTTCCTGAGGGCAGCAGAGAGAGCAGTCTGTGGGATGGGTGGCTGGAGTCACTGATGATCCTCCGGGCTTTCCTTATACACCGCCTGGTGTAGATGTCCTGCTGGAACAGCATGTTCCCAACAATACAGCTATAACTTAAGAACAAGCATGTTCCCAATAACGACCAGGTAGCTTAACCTGTTAACCCACACCGGCCCGTGGGCATGTTTAGGCGTGTCTGTGCTTTTAATTACCTTTGTTTTATAAACATATGCAATCAATTATCATAAACTATATATCATTTACAAGTCAAGTCAAGTCAAGTCACTTTTATTGTCACATCACCACAGCACATGTGCCTTGGTGAGTGAAATTCTTGGGAGCGTGCTCCAGACTGCAGAAACTGCAGAAACAATTTACATATAAACATACAGACCTCAACAGATGACAATGTGCAATATACACATACATATATAGTCAGTACACACAGTGTACTATTAGACATACTAACAGTTAGCACTACACATTATACACAGTATGTACATACTTACAGTTAGCAATACACATTATACACAGTATGTACACATTCTACATTATGTAGACATATATACACATAAAATATGCGAAGGTGCAACAGATTATACATGAACTGGATACGCAAAATGTCATGGATGTGCATTGGATGGTATCCAGTGGTAGCAGATAGATTATTGTATTAAATGCAGTGTGTATGTATAGTCCAGTATTGAACTGTTGGAGTTAAAGTGCAGTGTGTGGCATACCGTATTGTGGGAGTATGCTGTAGGATGTATTAGTTCTGACTGTTCATTAGTCTGATAGCCTGAGGGAAAAAGCTATCCCTCAGTCGGCTAGTGCGGGATCGGATGCTGCGGAGACGTCTTCCTGAGGGCAGCAGAGAGAGCAGTCTGTGGGATGGGTGGCTGGAGTCACTGATGATCCTCCGGGCTTTCCTTATACACCGCCTGGTGTAGATGTCCTGGAGGGAGGGAAGCTCACCTCCAACAATGTGGCGGGCAGTTCGTACGACCCTTTGCAGAGCTTTGCGGTTGC